ACATAGCACTGGGCATCCAGCAAGGGTGAAGCTGAGGTCTTGTGCTCAGCTCCATCACCTGAGGGTGATGGTGCAATCGGGTTGGTTTTAACCAAGGTAATGTTCACGCCTGGGTAAGTAACAAAGTGCTTCCAAGACCTGGTAAGGCCACGGGGTCTATCTCACTTCTCTGGGTATCCTGGTGTCTGGCTTTGTTTGGTTAGAATCATGGAATGGTTTGGGTTGGAAAGGACCTGAAGATCATCCAGTTCCAACTTCTTTTTATGGATCCAAGAGAAGAAACACGAGTTGTTTTCCCATAAAGGTTGCTGTAAAATATTCCGTGCCCTGGCCTTGAACTTCAGCACTCAAACAAGGGAAGAACGCTCTCCTTCCCTCACCCCTTAAGGCATGACTGAAGGGAGGTCATCACCGAACTCAGCCCTGCCTCTGACCTCGTAGTATGATGGGATTTTCCATATCTTACCTAGTCTCTCTGCAGAGACAGAAACCATGGCTTTGGTAGCCAAAGAAAAGTGATACTTTCCTATATGTACTTCCATAGCAAATCACAGGGAGAAAGAATTAACCCCCTGCCTTGGTGCTGCAGAGACCATGATGGGCTGGAAGGCTTCATGGTCTTCACATGGCCCCCAAAAATGGGTCCTGTTCCCATCGCCCTGTTCCCATCACCCAGCTCCACCAAGCAGCATCTACCTTGACTAAGACCCTGGGCAAACATTCAGGACTGAACTTGCAGGTCCTTCTCCTAACACCAGACCCAGTTCCTGGCCCGCGCTCAAGCTCAATTCATTGAAGTCAGTGAAGGAAATCAGGGCTGCTTTAATCCTTTTGCTTCAACTAAAACAAGAACAATAAACACTGCAAGAGCCAGAAGTTCTGCTTGAAGAAGGATTTAGGATTTGGCCTGAAATGCCGGAAAAGGGTCTGAGTTTTCGCACTTGGTGCTCTGGGTGCACGTCCTTTTGGTGCAATGTGATCCTAGGAGAATAGGACTTCTCCCAGTGGTCACCTTTCTTTTGGGAACGCATTATCCTCTGCTCTGTCTCCCTGGGGCATCAGTGATGTGCAATTGAAACTGTGCCTCAGTTTACACCGCAGCAAGAGCTTTGCTGCTGCCTCCCACCACAAAACAGCCTGGAGCTAAAGGGGACCTCAATCCTCTGCCTCAAAGCCCCACAGCTCCCTATAGCAGGAATCTCTAACACCATCCTGCAGCGGGTTACAAACCCAGGTGCAGGAGGACAAGGGACCTGCCTGGTCCCATAATAGCCCGTGAGGGTCAGGACATTCAGGGTGGGAAGGTCCCAGAGCCAAGCTAATGCTGCGGGTGCTCTGATTCCCAGCTGAGGTGTGTATGTCCCTGCTGATGCCATCCCAAAGGCGTCTGTACCCTCATCCCCATCTGCCCTGCTTCTCCAAGTGTCCTGGCAGCCTGTGGCTCCCATGGATGGGGACAAAAGCACCAACACATCCATTTACCCAGGCAGCGAGCAGAACTGGAGCAACAGGATTAGTCCTGATACTAGAAGTAGGATTTATTCCTTCTTATTCTTTGACTTCCTTTAAAGGCTTCCCGTGAGAACTCTTAGAATTAGCATTTTCAGCTTTACACCTCCTTTCTTGGACACAAAACGTGTATTTTGATGAAGAGCAGAGCCAAAAACGGCCAGGTTTGGGTAAAGGTTTATCCCAAGACTTAATCCCGCTGTGGATTCTCCAGTGTCTAACACAAAGGGCGCTTGCTGCCATGGGTACAGTTGTCCATTCGGCTCTTGGAGGGGACAAGGGAGTTCTCTAACACACAGAAAAGAGCAAGAAGTGGAGCTTTTGGTGAGGTCTGGGCAGCACAGGCACCTCCCGCAGCAGATCGGATCCAAGCAGGAAAACTCGCTGTTGTTTATGCAATAAATCTTTTCTTCCCTGTGGCTCGGAGGTATTTTCGATGGAATGGAGATACCTGCGAGCTGTTTATGCTTTCCTCAAAGCCAGGGAAGCAGAGATATCGGAGCCATCTAAGGCACTCGAGAAGTGAGGTCTTGTGCAAGCTCAGCTCCCTTGCTTACAAAATGTTCTTCAAGAGCCGGTTACCTGCCCGTTTTCTGCCATGGGGAGGAAGCCGGATGCTTCAACCAACACTCTGAATGTGCATTTGGTCCCAAGGGAGAGCCAATAACGCTGTTCCACTCCAAAGGTTGTGGATTCAAAGGTGAAATAATGACATCCCCAACCCACTTGGCTTCGCTGTGAAGGATGCTCTTTGATGCTCCTAATGCTGCAGCGCAGTTGGTGTAAGGGGTAAAGCCACCTGTGGCAGCACCAGCAGGTCCAGGAACCCCTCTTAGATGCAAGCAGAGCTTCAGCAAACCAGTACCAAGCTCTGGTCTCCTGTTTCTCCAAGCACATGGCAGGATGCGTGGCCACAGCACTGTGCAGCCAGGCAGGAAGCCTTGGCTCTGCCAATGCCTGGCATTAACATCAGCAGCATCTGGCTCCGTGCTGTGGATCCCTGTCAAACCAGCAGGATTACAGTCACTGCAGTGCTAGAGGTGCCTGGGTGAGAGCTGGGATGTGCTATTCCTGCTGGGAAGCAGAATCTCACAGCAGTTTGCTCTGCCCCACACTGAAGACCACGCTAAGAGAGATCCTGCTTAGTAAGACCCAATGCAGCACCAATCCTTTCATCGTGGTACATAGCAGAAACCCACATCCACACCACAGACATCTCAAAGCCCATCTCAAAGAGCTGCAATGAACTTTTGCTGGATACAAGTGAGGCCCATGAGGCTGCATTAGACTTTTAAGTCTGGTTTAAGATGAAGATTAACTCAGCACTAATCCTGCTTACTTCTCTTTCCTTTTAATTAGCCTCCATTAAGCACTGCTACATCACAATTCCCTCGCCGTGAATAGCTGCTAATCAAATAGGATATCAGCTCCACTTAATTGCCCATATTTGCTCTCTGTCAATCCCTGCACTAATAACAGCCTGCATTGGTAACCTGACATAACTACGCCTTGAGTAAGAGCACTGAGCTCTCCAGTCTGTACCAGGCACTCAGGAGCATGCAGACTGGACGTGACCATGGGTTTGTTACCCATCAGCACCCCAAATTTAGCCTCACAACCTGCTCTATGAGGTTGGCTTCACTGCTGGCAAGCCAGAGCGATGCTGTGACGAGCCAAAGGCCCTGAGGAAGCCCAAGAGGATTCTCAGAGAACAGGTTTCCTAAGGACCATATCCCATCTCCTTCAGACTCACCCATGGAGCTGACTTGTTCTCTCCATGATCTCTCCCTCTTTAAGAGCAGTATTCCCATAAGCATCTTTTAAAAGGGAAGACAAGAATGGAATGGGATAGAACAGAAGTTTAAAGGCTGGACCAGATGATCCCTGAGGTCCCTCTCAATTCCCTGCAAGTCTATGAGACTAGTTCAGCTAGAAGGGACCTACAACCATCATTTAGTGTAACTGTCACCCATCTGCACTGGAGGGAAGAACAGGCCTTCACACATCCTTATGGATCCCTTCCAACTTGTGATATTCCATGATTCTGTGATAAAATTTGGGCAATATGGAAAACTTTACATCACCCTTTCACGTCAGTTTGGTGGCACTTGCAGGGGAAGTTGGATGTTGGACAGTGGCAGCCTTTGTCAGAGCCAAAGAAAGGACTCTCAGTTCGGGTGCTCTGCATCCCTCTGGAATGAAATGGCCTTTCCAGCTCCAGCTCTACCCTAGGGCAGTGCTCCTTCCAGCTTTAAATAGCTACACAGGCTGCCAATGAAAGGGAAGAAGAAACGAGTGCTGCCTTTCCAGCAAAGCCACCAACCCCAACAGCACAGGGAGGAAAAGGCTTTACAGGCATAGAATCATGGAATGGTTTGGGTTGAACGGACCTTAAAGCTCATCCAGTCCCAACCCCTTGCCACGGGCAGGGACACCTTCCACTAGAGCAGGGTGCTCCAAGCCCCTGTGTCCAACCTGGCCTTGAACACTGCCAGCAATGGAGCATCCAAACCTTCTCCATTCAACCCATTCCAATGTCCCAGGCACCCTCATAGGGAAGAGCTTCCTTATCTCCAACCTGAACTCCCCCTGTTCCAGTCTGACCCCATCACCCCTTGTCCCATCGCTCCAGTCCCTGCTGCAGGTCCCTCTCCAGCATCCTTGTAGCCCCCTTCAGGCGCTGGGAGCTGCTCTGAGCTCTCCACGCAGCTCCTCTGCTCCAGCCCCAGTGTTCTCAGCCTGGCTCCATACAGGAGCTGCTGATTGTCCTCGTGGCCTCCTCTGCCCTTGCTCCACCATCTCCATGTCCTTATGCTGAGAATCACCCAGGAATGTTCAAAATGTGTAATGGGTAAATGTGTTGTAAGCAATGGAAGAATAGGGAAAACAGACTTGTTGGGCAATTACTGGGTAGTTTGAGGTGAATAATGATGCTCCAGGGAAGAAAACATCATTCCTGTTCCAGGGATTAACACCAAGAAGTCAAGAGACATTTCTGAGGAGCTGAGTGAGCCATTGGTAAGCAGCTGGTTCTGCAGCTCATGTCACTGCTTCACGCCAGCATTTCCTTCCCAACAGGCATTTCTTGGGGCTGGATCCCATTTCTCTGGGTAGGAAACCTGTGCCCAGGCTGTTAAAACCTGGTACTCTGAGGAATGAAGCTGTAGTAAGTCACTTGGAGTTCTGTGCATCCCTTCTGTATCCCATTTGCCTGGGTGAATCACAGCCCAGGTCCTGTGTTTCAGCATCCAGCTCTAGCTTTGTAGAAACCCCTTTGCTTTCTCTCCTCTCTGTGCTGCAGGTGGTAGAGCTTGGATAAGAGAGGAGCACCAAGTGCCTGTAGGGATAGGTCCCCCAGTAAGAAAGCAAAGGAGAAAGGGAAGTGTTTCATGGCATTGCTCAAGGCTGATTTATGACCTCCCAAGGGTGGCCAATGCTGCATTCCCCAGCTTTAATAAAAGGGGCAGGGTCTGATGTTCCCTCAGCTGGAACACACATGAGAAAAAGCCTCAGGTTTCCTAGGACCACATTCCCATCTCTTTCCACTCAGGATCCTTCACCCCCTGCATCCATATATATACACTGTCCCTCAGCATCCCCTACAGACACAGCCGCTCTGGTGGCACTTGCCTGAAGATCCCACAGCCAGGGTCAGTCCTTGCAGCCTCCAGCTCCATGATGTGGGAATTGCGATCCATAGCCTTCACCCGGGCTGTCTTTGCAGAATTCCTGGCGACGTTGGTCTTCATCCTCTTCGGCCTGGGCTCTGCTCTGAACTGGCCCTCAGCTTCCTCCCCGAGCATCCTGCAGATCGCGCTGGCTTTCGGCTTGGCCATCGGCACGCTGGTCCAAGCCCTGGGGCATGTCAGCGGAGCCCACATCAACCCAGCAGTGACCGTGGCTTGTCTCATCGGCTCCCAGGTCTCCTTCCTCCGTGCAGTCTTCTACGTGGTGGCCCAGCTGCTGGGGGCCGTGGTGGGGGCTGCAATCCTACACGAGATCACCCCAGCAGACTCCCGCGAAGGCTTGGCCATCAACAAGGTAAGAGCTCAGCCCATAGACGGGCTTGGAAGGGAGCAGGAAACATTGGGAAGGGCTTTGAGGGGTGTGCAGAAGGGGTCTGTGTCCAGCAAAACCCTCTTTATTCAGCGTTGGGTACAAAGCCTCTGTCAGCTATAGCCCAACACCATGCAGCAAGGGTCCACCCAGGAGCAGGACTGAAGGATGCTCCCTCTGCTTTTTAGGACTAAAACCAGAGGTATGATCCAGCTGCCCACATAGACACCTTCCTTAAAAGACAAAGCCACCCTTATCTCAGTTTTATCTAGGGCAGAGGAGCTGGATTGGGATGAAACCCTATGATTAGGGAAAGACATGACCTAAAGTATCACCTCTCCATTCCTCTTGCCCTGAGCTCATCCCACTTTCCAGTCTTCATGTGGGTGTAGGCAGCCTTTTCTCCTCTATCAGCAATGCCGCTGTTTACAGGCTGCGCTGCCAGATTCCCAGCAATGGGAATGTCATGTGTTAGGTCTAAATCCCAGGTTTTCATTAGCTAGCAATGCTCATTATACTACTTCCAGTTGTGAAGGAATGGCCACACCAGATCCTGGTTGATCCCAATACCTGCACACAGGTGCCCAATGCCAGCAGCATCGTGAGGATCCCAGTCTGGATCCATACAGGGAAGAAAAGAAACCAGGGGACTTTAGGAAGCCTTAAGGGGGCTCCCCAGTAGTACCTCAACCTCCACCATCCCCCTTCCTCACTGATGCACTTAAAAGGAGAGGTAGTGGTGGGAAAGGAATTCAGAAGTCACAGGTTTCATATCTCCTCTCCATGCCCCACCACTCCTCTTCACGCAGCTCTGTCTCCTATAGAGATGCCCAAGGACCAGCATCACCCAAACCCAAGCTGAGCCATGCGGGAGGAGGCAGGCAGCTTTGGATGTGCTTCAGGAAGCAGCACCCCAACATCCCCTTTCTTGCAGTAGGGAGGCAGTGCCAGGGCCCAGCTTCACTGCCAAAGAGATTAAGGGGGTTGAAAAAGGGATTGGGGATTAATCTGAGCAAGGTGATTTAGACTGGTAATAGCTGAGGCTTAATAAACCCAATAAAGCAAGAAGGGCTTTTAAGAGAGGCTTTCAAAGTACCCAGCTTACTTGGTTTACAGCTTAAATCACCTGGAAGAGGGGATAGGGATTTTCTTTCTTTCCCCTGTGGGCTGCTCATCGTGTAGCTGCCTGCAGAGATTACCCTTAATACAAAGGGGGAATACTGGAGAGGAGAGCAAGAAAGACCTGGATCTTGGCCAAGAAGGCAATTGCCACCACTGAGCAAAGAAAGGGTGGGATGTGCCATAGGCTGGGGAAGTGAAGGGAGACTGAGGGAAGCAGTGCTGCCAGCGCCAGATGTGCACATCCAGATGCCAGACCCATCCAGATGTGGCTGCAGAATCACCAAGGAGCAATAACGTGCTAGAAAACAGAGCTGGAGGAGAGGGGGTGCAGCCAATGCTCAGCTTCAGCTCAAATCCTGCCCATTCAAAAAGTATGGGAAGGGGGGATGGAAATGGGGTTTTGAGGCCAAACCCCTTCTTTTTGACATATTCCAGCTTCTAAACTTTCCCAAGAGGCATTTTGCATTTTAAATATGAGAAAAAAAGAATAAATTATTCCTAGAGGGGAAAAAAAGAACAGGGAAAAAAGCCCCAAAGGAATGCCAATAAATAAACCATTTCCTGGTCAATCAAATACCACCCATTGAGCCTCTTTTCCTTTTAGCTGGGAATTTTTTCCTCCTTTTCATATTGATCCCACCTATTCCCTGGGTCTATTTGATCCCTCTTGGGTTTTCCCCACACACGTTCCCAACCCGGTCACCAAATGCTTGTCCCTGAGACACCTTTTTCCTCCCCTTCAGCTGCACAATGAGACAACGACGGGGCAGGCAGTGACTGTCGAGCTCTTCCTCACCTTCCAGCTCGTCCTGTGCATCTTTGCTTCCACGGATGAACGCCGGGAGGACAACCTGGGCTCTCCTGCCCTCTCCATTGGCCTCTCCGTTGCTGTGGGACATCTCCTTGGGGTGGGTAGAATAGGCTAAAACGGACTAAAAGTCAATGGGTTTGGGTTATCTTTGTGTTTATGGCCAAAGCCTGCTTGGCTGCTTGCTCCAGGTTGGACGGGGAGGTGTAACTCATGTGATGCCCATGGTTTTCCAGTGGATAGAGGAGGAAAACCATACCAAAGCTGTAGCAGAGCCTGAGCTCTGCTTTTATGGGGCAGGAAAACACTGACCCTGCTGGGTTTGCTGCTCCTTGCGTCCTACAAGGAGCAACAAGGGATCAGTGGGGTCTTCTGCCCCAGAGTGAATACGTTAGAAACAGGCACTCATGATAAGATTGGGAAGTATTTGGGATGGACACCAAGGGAAATCCCTCCTGGATGAGACCAAAACAGCTCCAAACACTTCCAGCCTCTCAGTACATGTAGTAAAGGGAATCATGGAATCATAGACTGGTTTGGGTTGGAAAGGACCTTAAGATCGCCCAGTTCCATCATCCATGGGCAAAGACACCTTCCACTAGAGCAGCTTGCTCCAAGCCCCATCCAACCTTGCCTTGAACACTGCCAAGGATGGAACATTCACCATTCCTTTGAGCAATGCTTACGCTGCATCTTCCATCCTTAACACTCTGCAACCCAGGTGTCTGTGGGACTCTTCTCCTACCCTCAGTGGCAAGGAGCAGCAGCTTGCTCCAGGACCAGGCACAGCAGGAGTGTGTCCCCACGCTTCTTGTCACACTGCAGGGCACGTCACTCAGCCTCCAGCCGGGTTGCACCATGCTCGTGCTTGCACAGAAGGTGCAACCGTGTTGACTCAGGTGGTGGAAGCTGAAGGAGCATCCCTTTTCCTGGAATGGGGCGGGGGAATGAATCCAAACCACACCAGGACCACGTTAAAGGGTTAATGCTAACAACAAACTGGTGTTCCTCTGCAGATCCGCTACACTGGCTGCTCCATGAATCCAGCCAGATCTTTCGCCCCTGCTGTGATAGTCGGAGACTTCAGCGACCACTGGGTAAGAGCCGGGTCTATGCCTTGCTCCGGTGGGATGAACCCCTCCAGATGAGCACTGTTCCTCGAAACCCACAGAGCCAGGCACATTCCTGGCATTTCCACACCAGCTCTGGCTTGGGAAGAGATGTAGAGATTAGCAAAACGAGGTGGGGCTGCTGGGTGCTTAACTGGCTTATCTGAGGGCATTGCAACAGCAGAAGGGTGTGTGGTTTGTTGACCGTGACTTAGCCAAGGAAGCAGAACAAATGGAGAGTGGAGCTCTTCTTGCTGGTCCTGGAGACCTTTCCTGGTTCCACTTGGATCTGGGCATACGTTTTCCACCAGTTCCTTTAGGAACACTCCCATGCGTTTCCATTTCAGAGCTAGAGCTGTGGTGGCTCAGGTTGATGTGTTCAGAGGTGTCCAGCTCAAGCTGGTAGCCTCCTCTTTGCAGCAGTGTGTAAAGGGGTAGGAAGATGCTTCTGCAAAGGAACCCATGCTCATGACGGCCTATGATTAATGAAGGTCACACAGCTCTCAACAGAAGAGGCTGGTTGGGTATATTCAGGCACAACAGCAATGGATGGGAGTTGAGGTCAACAATGATGGCCAAAGCAGAGCTGGCTTCTGCATCTCACAGAGTAGGAAGGAACATAACCCCCCCCCCACGATGCCCTTCAGAGATGCTGGTTTCTGCCTGTCCTCCACACTCAGGCTGGGTTTTACTCACCCAACTCGTACCTTTCCCTTTCCCTCAGGTCTTCTGGGTGGGCCCCCTGGTTGGGGCAGCCGCAGCCTCCATCATCTACAACTACATCCTGTGCCCGCAAGCCAAGACCTTCTCGGAGAGACTCGCCATCTTCAAGGGCTTCGAGCCCGAGGAGGACTGGGCAGAGCGCGAGGTCCGGCGGCGGCAATCGGTGGAGCTGCACTCCCCACAGAGCCTCCCCAGGGGGATGTCTGAGAAGGTTTAGCCAAAGCATCCCTCCAGGATGAGAGAGGAGCCGGGGAACACTGCGTCTGTCCTCGAGCCGGTGATGGTCAGTGCCTCGCCTCTCCCCTCTCCCCCTTCACTTCTGCTTCTTCATCTGAGGAACTCAAGTTCCTGGGGAGATGCACTGGGATGCTCCAGCCCACCTTGTATTGTCCAGCTCTCCCCACAGCCAACAGTCGTGCGATGCTGGGGGGAAATGCCATTAAATCAAAGCCACCAGGAACGAGGACACCGCGATCCAACCCTCCTCCAGCTCCTTCCACGTCTCCCTGGTAGGAGGCAGCGCTCGGTGGAGCTTGGTGCCCTTCAAGCAGGGCTCCAAGGTGCTGTGAGGAGTTATTACAGCCATTTGCTGGGTGTGGAGGTTGCCACCCGATGCCTCATTGCTGTTGAACTCAACTCACCTCTCTCCTGTGTCTTCTCCCTGCCTGGCTGTTTGCACACACACACACTGGAGGGCTCACTCCGGGTCATAAGTATCTCAGAAGCTCTAAGTTTGGCTGCTGCAAGGAACCACATTGTCATTTATCACCCCAGAGATGCTCTTTGTTCACATGGAGGCTTTCCTGAGAAGATGGGGCTGGAAGCATGTCCTTGAGCTCATACTGACCCCATTGGGGAGCTCTTGCTGGGTCTCTCCTGGGGCCTCCTGATTTTCAGCCCAAATACATCCATGGCTCATCTGTTCATGGACCAGTGCTGTCCTTTAGCTTTGATGCTTAATCTCTCTGTGGCTTGTGCTTTCTTTCCTCTGTTCCTGATCCATCCTGATTCTCAGATGCATAACACAAAGCATTTCAAGTATGATCCTCTCCATCACTTGTTTCCTGCAGCCCAGACCCTTTCCATGGCTGCATCACACCAAAGCCTCATAACCATCCCAACCCCTTTCTTCTGCTATTATGGCCATCAGCAGAGTCAAAGAATTTGGGTTAGTCTTTGGGATGCAGCTTTGCTCTTTCAACCATTCATTTAATCCAGTTTCTATGACTTAGCCTGAAAGCCTGGTTTCCAGCAGGACATCCTACTGTTTTCTTCTGTTGGTGATGCCTCCCCAGCATTGCACCGTCACAAAACATCATCACCACATTCAGGCTTCTTCTGCTGAGGCTGTTAATGGAAAACAATGGCTCCAATTCCAGATCTTAGGGAACATTAGTGATCATTTTCTGGTTAGACATGAACCACCACCAAATGATGCTCTTCCTGTCCATCCACTGTGCTCTACTTGTACCAGTCTCCTATTAGATTCCTAATTTCCTCTATTCCTCACTGTGGCTTTGCTCATCCATCCACTAAACGCTGTAGTTGGAGGGATAAGGAGTAAACAAATCTCTGCTCTGACCCAGACACGGCATCCTCATCGCCTTCATTTCACCACACCAAGTGAAGCTGAGAGCATGGGAGCTCCTGCATCCCCTCGTCTGGCTGTCATCTGCTGTCCCTGATGCCACACTGCAAAGCAAAGGGAGAAATTCCATCACAAGCTTTATTTGCTGTAGCCAAGGATCCATTTTACACCTCCAGTCATGTAGTAGTAACGTAACTACCCCTAGAAGGCTGCTATTGAGGTGCAGCAGGTTCAGTGCTGCTTTAACTCATTCTCTGCCACAGCAAAGATGTTGATTCTGGTCCTTCAGTTTATTCCTTCAATGGCAAAGGAACATTTGAATGGCATTTTGGAAAAGGCTTTCCAATCTATGTGTTCTCAACAATAGGAATTAAAATAATGTCTCAAATCAGAGTGTAAAATTGCATTTAAATCATTTGGTTTTAAATGTAGGGTTTTTTGCTATTCAAAGGGAAAACAACCGTTGTATATGTCAGGATAACCCAAAGTAACTTACCCAGGAGTTACCCTGTCACTGACCTGCTCTATAAGATGCCACCCACCTGAATCTTTTGGGGGGTTTTTGGCAATGTTCAAGCTATTTACACATCTCTTTGCCTTAAGATCTAAGCCTTTCATTTCTTATTTACCCTGACAAAGTTTCAGACTCACATAAGCAGCACAGGGGCCAAAAATGGGTTTAAATGTTTGATATTTACCGCATTTTCTAAATAAAGAGCCTTAAATTCAGTTTTACTCACATGTGAATCGAATAGTGACACATTTATGGTCACATAACATAGAGACAGTCACACAAAGTGACCTCCCACACCCACAGTCCCACAGCCACCAGTGCAGCCCAGTCCAGCTTTGAGTGTTGCCTTGGACCAACAGCCTGTTGACAGGCAAAAGTGACATGAAAAGAAGGTTTTGTGTTCTTCTATCTTAAAAATAGGACCCACAAAACAAAGATCATCCCCACTTCAACACCGCTGGGATGCTGATTCCTGCCCTGGCTGGCTTCTGCTCTTGGCGCACCAACCCATCTCACTAAACCAGCTTTGCAGATGGCTAAAGCAGCCTAAGTCTTCTTGAGTCAAGGAGAAACATGACTTTACCTTCTCTGCGGAGCTGTGTCATTGACTTCAATGACACTTCCAAAACTTGCATGGTCAGGAAACCAAGCCAGTCATTCCAGATTTACACAGTGCAACTCGAATGAGAGGGCAGGATCAGCAACCCGGAAATCAGAGCTGCCACAGACCAGCCTAAGACCTGGCTGAAGTGCTAACACCGTGTCTTAGACCTCAACAGGGAGACAGGATTTGAAGCCATCTGGCCATGCCTGGGTGGTTTCCATGGGCTCCGCTTTGATTTTCAGCCTGGTTTTCCAGGAATACAAAGAACCCAAATCAGAATCGCGCATTTATCCAGAGACAACTCAGTGCAAGAAAGTTCAGCTCCAGATCTGGTGCAATGAGGGATGCCATCATCACGGGTTTCTTTAAATCCCAATTATTCCATACTACCTAAATATATAGGTTGAGAAATTTCTTGTTCCATTTGCTTTGGGGCTCAAAGGCAGAAGGGGGTGAAAACTCACAGACTGGTTTGGGTTGGAAGGGACCTTAAAGATCCCTACTACTGCCACTGCTCTGAGAATCCTGAGGACACCCATAACCAGCTGCTGCCCCATAAGAGCTCGAAGTACTTCTCTAGATGGGCAGAAACGCAGCCTTTTAATGTCCCCGATGCAGGTGGCTTCACTGGAAAGGGCTAGACCTGAAAATCAGGAGCAGGGTTCCCAGCCAAGCTTTCTACTGCGTGATCTCGTACAGGGTTTCTTCCTACCCGGCCCTTTGCTTTCCCTGATACACATTATTATCCCCATGTGATGGTTTAATGATGATTTCAGTGCAAGTTAATTATTAAGGATGCTGGTGCTTCCATTGCACACCAGCCCCAAAGCGCTTCCATCCACTGCTACACCTCAGAGACCATCCAGTCATTTCGAAGCACAGAGCAGAGCAATGCTGTTATTAAGCATTAACACTACTCAGCACTTCAACAGCCTTATCCCTATTGACAGCCTCACAGTTTACGAGGTCACTGTGACCACTGTGCTCAGGAAGCCACCAAAGTCTGGGGACAGCTTCAGGACCAGCTTCAAGCCAAAGCGGTGGCACAGCAGCAAGGGACATGGGCACATCCCTAAACCTAAACAGCCTCGAGAGGTTTGAGCTCCAAAGCTCACTCAGGTTACTAGGGGAAGGCAAAAACCCTGTTGTTCCAGGGCCAGAGGAGGTCACCTTCATCATCACCCTCAGGCTATCAGAGTAATCCCTCTTATAGGGAGCGCAAGCAGATGGAGGGTTAGATAAGAGAAATCCTTGACAGCCCAGCCTGCAGCACCCTTACAGAGACATCAACATTAATCCCACTTTTTTCCTACCACCATAGCAAGAAGCAGCTCCAAGAATTGAGGATGAGGAGGGCAAAATGTGCTGCTTCTTGTTCTACTTTAAATTCCCAGGGCATCTCATTTTTATCCCCATCAGTGGCTTGCTGCAATCCCCCAGTGCTCAGCCAGCAAGAAACTAACCCAAACTTTCTCCTCTGGCCATCTAATCCCAAATTCCAGCAGAAATAGTTGTCTCCTGTTGGTATTATTACTCCTGCTTGTATTATTGTGCCAGTTTTGAGGCCCTTGCTTGAGATATAGAGCCAATGAGGGGGAAGAAGCAAAACCCAAACTAGGCTGGGTCTCAGCAGCATTTATAACCCAAATTTGCCAGGCTTCGAGGTTGAACTGAGGAATTTGGGCTGAAATGACACGGAAATGACAAATTAATAGAGCAAATGGAATCGGCGACATGGGGACGACGGGGACCGACACACGCAGCCACTTAATAACACACACGCCTCCCTGGGTGAGGCAGAGCCCTGGGAGGGCCCCGGGCGAGGATGAGGCACCAGTTGCCTTCCTCCCACCCGGGCACGCTGCACCCCAGCCCCACAGTGGGCTCAGTGCTATCCCCATCCAGCACATTGCCCCCAAGGCGTGGACGATTGTGTTGCATGCTGATATAAGGGAGGAAGAGGAGGAGGAGGAGAAGGACACAGCTAAACCTGTCCTTGCAAAAAGCCTCCGCATCTTCTTTCTTCCAAAAGCCCAGGGGTGAAACAAGGCGTGCATGACCCCACCACGTAGGTGTCCGTCTGTCAGCAGGTCCCTGCGTAATGCCTCCTCAACATCTTGCCCAATTCCACTTCGTTTGACACATCAAAGGCACTTTTCAGTTCATACAAGCTCCTTGGAGGGCGTGCAGCCAGGAAAGAGGAAAAGGAGCCTTCCCAAAGCCTGCTCGACACAGTTCAGCATCAGAGAAGCCACGCAGGAATGCCCCAGTGAGGAGTCTAGCAAACAGCCTCAGGAAAAGAGGGTTCTGCATGGCATGTGATTAGAGAAACACCTTGTTTCCCTTTGGGAGCCTTCCCCATCATTTCCAGCCTTATTGGACTGTATCTCCCAGTCAGGAGGATTTTGCTGGGTCATTATCCACCCATTGGGAGCCTGGGAGAGCGTCTTTAACGCTGCCTTTGAGCTGAAGCCATAAAGTCCCATGGGCAAAGCAGCCGCCAGCAAAACGCATCCACTTCCAAGGGGGATGAGCGATGGGAGAGCAAGGAAAGGGTTTGGAGGATGGGCTCAAGGCGCGTTCGATCCAGCTGGAGCCACAGACAGGGCTGAAGGGAAGTGGCAAGTCATTACCTGGGCTGGAATGTGGCCAGGGTGTCTTGAAATACCAGCTTGCAAAACTTTCACCAAAACACGCCAACGGAGCGGGTGTTTCTAGGATAACAGATCCGACTTTTCCCTCTGCAACTGCCCCGGGAGCAGCAGCACCAGCGAAAACCATTAGCAGGAATTAAGGCTGTAACAGAGCCCCGGTCCCTTGGGATGCTCCGGGTCGGTTTGCTGGGCTCAGGACTCTGGGTTAGGCTGGAGGTGAAAGGCTTATTTCTTTGCAGTCCCTTTTGTCTTGCTGTGGGGAGGAATCCCTCCTCAGCGCTGATCCCATGGGATGTGTGCAGGTCTGGCTGCAGCCAGCAGAAGGCAGCAGTGAAGGGAACGTTTTAGTGCTTTATGGATGTAAAGAGGGGTTTAAGTGGTTTTACCCATCTACTGCATGCAGAGCTTTGCTCACCCTGTGCTGGAGCGATAGGACAAGGGGTGATGGGTTTAAACTGAAACAGGGGGAGTTCAGGTTAGATGCAAGGAAGCTCTTCCCTGTGAGGGTGGTGAGGTGCTGGAATGGTTTGAATGAACCATCCCATGTTGGAGCAAGCTGCTCTAGTGGAAGGTGTCCCTGCTCATGGCATGGGTTGGAACTGGATGAGCTTAAGGTCCCTTCCAAACCCAAACCATTCCATGATTCTATGACTGCTCCTTCAGAGGCAGCCGTGGATAACCCCAGTGCTGCATAAGGCACAGAGGTGGCATCACTTGAAGAAGGCAAGATGCAAAGAGAGATCTTTCCCATGGCAGGGGGTTAGAACTGCATGACCTTGAGGTTCTTTCCAACCCAAACCCATCTGAGATTCTATGGTTCACCCAAACCCATTTGAAAACTTGAACTCAAATCCTGGCACAAGGCTGCAAGGACCATGAAGGCGCCAAGAATTCCCTGTTCACTGTCACTAGGCCCTTCTTCCATCCCCAAACCCTCAACCTCAGCCCCACAGCAGCACCGAGAGCCTGCCCACTGCAATCCCTGCCAGCCAAGGGATGCAGGGCAACCCCACAGGAGCATAGAAGGAGACGTGGAACCATGGCCTGTGTCCATGCAAAGCCTGCGGCTTTCTGCTGGCATTCCCAAGAGCAAAATCACTGCCCTCGTTGAGCAACAGCTTGAAAGGCAAAAAGAAAAGAAAAGGGCCCGAGATGACAGGGGTAGGATCCACCCTGCCTGGCTATGGGCAGCGAGCACCCCCTGACTGCCAGCCCAGGTGCTGGCAAAGCCCTCTCTCAATGCCCTGGAAGGAGCAGTAAGGCAGCAAAAGGGATCCACAGTCAGGCTCTGCAGTGATCAGCTGCCTTTACCCAAGCTCCACCACCCCATGCAGGCACCTCCAGCTTGTCTGTGGCTCCTCAGACAGGCAAAGCATCCCCCAAACCCAGCCAAGCTCCAACACCAAACCACTTCTTCACTATGGTCGAGCTGCCTTGGCAGCCTGGGAGCAGCTCCAGGAGCTTCCCTTTGCTTTACATCCCAACATCCTGTGTCAACCGAACACACTGGGAATGAGAATTCCTGATTCCAGGAATGCTCCTCCAGCCTAACACCAGGAACAAGACTTCCCACACAGAACTACAGCCCTCTCCAGCCCATGGAGGAGGGGAACATGAACTA